GCTCAGCCCAGGGCTGCCCCCTCCTCTCGGGGCTTTGTGGGAGGCTGAGACACCACGAGCCCCCGAATGTGCAAACAAGGCGGGCACTGAGAACACAGGCTCTGCTTTGAGGGTCCGGCGGGGCGGCGCTGGGGGTCCCGGCCTCCCCGCGACACTCACCTGCATGTACCTAATCTGGAGAGCGTGGGAGGGAACACAGCACAGTTAGCAGCGGCGGCCGTGGCGCCCCCGGCCGAGCTGGGAGTCGGGCGCTCGTCCGCCCAGCCAGCGGCCCTGAGCTCACCCCGTGGCCTCCACTGCCCAGTCAGCCTGGCTTGCAGTGGCCGCCGGCCCCAGGCACCTGCCCTCATGCTGCCTTCACCCCTCCTGCCCCAGAGCCACCCCCAATGGGACGGGGCACACCGGGTGGCCTGGCGGGAGGCAGACCCTCCCGCCCGAGTGGACCAGGCAGCTGTGAGCAGTGCCGAGCGTCAGAACCCGGGCACAGTGGGGCAGGGCCCGCTTCTCCCCCGGAGCAGACAGGCACGGCGAGGCCCTCCCGGGTCCTGCAGACAGCCCAGAGCCCGGGGTGCACTTCAGGACCAGGGACAGCGGCGGGCGAGGGGCGGCCAGGGCAGAGGGGTCTTTCAGAGCTCGTGTGGCCAGGAGGATCCCTGCAGAAGCACCAGCCTCTGCCCCGACTTCCAAAGGGCGTGCTCCAAATATGGCCAGCCGAGCGTGCAGGCCAGCTGTGGGCGGCCCGGTGGGACCTCCAGGCGCCGGGCAGGGGCTTGTCCTGCACCCCAGGGGCCGCGCTGGGAAGCTCAGCATCCGAGCTGCTCACCAAGAGTGGCCAGGCCCTGACCACGCACCCTGCCCTGGAGCCAGACCCGTCTGAAGCAGGAAGACCCCGCCGCGTCTCAGACACAGCAAGGAGCCGTTCCTGGGACCAGGCTGGGACGGGGCCAGCCGAGCGAGGCCAGGCACAGCCGCCGGCCAGGCTCCCGGGAGGCCCGCAGGACCTCGAAGGGGAACGCGGAGGCCTCGAAGGGGAACGCGGAGGCCTCGAAGGGGAACGCAGAGGCCTGCCTGGGGGCGCCCACCCCTCTACCAACACAAGGGGCATCTCCCAGACGCCCCCAGGGCCTGGAGGCCCAGGGTGTGGCCTGCCTCCCCCAGCCCCCTGCCCTGCCTGGCAGGGCCGCCACCTTCTGCACGCAGCTGAATAGACTGGCTGCAGCAAAGTGGCATCCGAGGCACCAGCTGGGGGGCAAACACCCTCGCGCATAGAAGCCGCCCAGCTGGCTCATGGAGCTCACGCCGGCCCTGCGCCCCTGCACAACCCGGCGGGCACTGCCTGCACGGAGCCTGGCACCCGGGGGTGGGGTGCAGCCTCCGGGAAAGGCTGGGGAACACGACCTGGAGCCCCAACAGCGCCACGTTGCCCCAGTCTCCCAAGACCACTTGCGAGGGAGACAGGGGTGTGCCAGACGGGGCCCCAGGAGGGGCCAGCAAGACGCCCCCAGAGAAAACCCTGGAGCTGGGAAGGACCAGCCTGCAGCCCGGAACCCCCTCCTCTGGCCCGGCTCCCCTCGCTGGCGCACATGGGCTCAGAGGTTCCAAAGAAAGAGCCAGGGGGGCCCCACAGGGAAGGCGGCGGCCAGGCACTCGCCACGGGGCCCACGGGAAGGCGGCGCAGGCACTCGCCACGGGGCCCACGG